CAAACAAGTTGTATACCATTCGATGCAGTATAAAACGCTGACTTCGAATCTGTCTTCCTTATCTGCTTCCCGCTTCTGTGGACGAAGCTACAAGCGGTTTTATTGTGAAAAAATCATACATAAAAACAGCGAAATTAAGCACATTGTTGCACTTTTAGCTCGGCTTCTGGCTTCAAAAATTTCAAGTAAGCTAGGTGCTTGTTTTGGCCCAGCATTGAGGCGAAGAGGCTCTGTACGGCGAATTTTTCAATTTCACGCATAATTTCTAAGCAAAATAATGGTCTTTAATGGATTATAACTTCGTCCAGAAAAGCGATAAGCAGATAAAGAAGACAGATTTAGAGTCAGCGCTTCATGCTGCATCTAACGCTACGCAGCTTGTCTGGAATGGCCACTTCGATTTGTGACCATTTCCTCGTTAGAAGGAATACAGAGAAACTTACTTTGTGCGATCACGGTTTTGAATCTTGTCGCGCACAAGACCGGTCTGTTGAGATAAACCACAGCCCCGCGATAGGAATGAAAATTGAAATGAGGGATTAAAACATATCGTCGAGTCATTCGTAACTTAATATGTGTAGTGCACACCAAGCACGCTAACTGACGAACAACAAAACTAGAACCTGCTCGTTTCCAGTGATTTCTGCTTGTTTCCTTGTCTCTTTTGTTTTTCTTGATTACAAGCTAGTCAATAGAACACATTTGTACACTTTGTTAGGATGAAAAATGTTTCACTGGAAAGTTACCAGTAAGGGTGCCGTCGCTCATAGGATTTAGTGTGCAGTCTCACATATTAAGTTACAAATGACTCGACGTTAGAATGAATGCAAAGATAAGATAAGATAAGAGAAAGAATGCAAAGATAAGCTAAGAAATGCTTCTGTCTGAGATGACAAGTTTTAACGTGTTGCTGCAATGAAAACATTAATGCAAAACAATTCTACATTGCGCGTGCATTGTGGTCTAGTGGCTTAGCGATGGGATCTTTGCGCTAGACCATACAGGTTTGAGACCCAACTTCAACATCGCTTCTGCAGCAAGGTAGGTAACAGTTTCTCAAGCAAAATTCGAGCTTGAGAGTTGGAATTCGGAATTACGAAAGCGGAACTCGGAGTTTCAATAAGCGTAACTCAGAGTTTCAAAAACGTAACTCAGAGTTATCTCTGAGTTAACGCTGAGCTTTAAACTCGGAGTTTCGGCCAGATTTCTGCCGACCAGGAAATTTCAAACCTACTCAGACAATCGCAGGGGGCAGGCGGGCACTGGAAAAATAGATGGCTGATTTCTCGCAACCCGCTCGCGGATTTTTTGGAAAGCAATCAGAACTTTTCGGAAGACCGCTTGCTCAGTCAGCGGGTTTTTGAGAGACCACCTGTTGAATTTTTTTTCGCTCTTATCTTTTGCAGATATATTGCTGAATCTCTGAGGAATCGAGAACTCAGCAAGCGGCCTTCCGAAAAGTCCTGATTGCTTTCCAAAAAATCCGCGAGCGGGGTGCGAGAGATCAGCAATCTAATTTGGTGCCCGCCTGCCCCCGGCGATTGTCTGAGTACAGAGGCATCAGCCTGGAACGAAGTGTCATGTGAATTGTGCAAAAATTCGCAATATGGTGCAATACCATTGCTAATCTATGTTACCTCTGATAGCACCGCCCAAACCTGTTTCCCTCTCCCCCTTTCGGTTCTGAACTCTGCATCCCTCTTTCCTTCTATCGAATACTGTCATGCCCAATAATGAAAAAACCGCGATAATCTCACTTCATTTCAACGTGCCTGACAAACTGAACGTTTCTTACAGAGATAAAAATGATCTGTTCAAAGCGTATAAGAAATGGATTCGAAGTCTTAACCTCCCTACCAACGAGGTCTATTTTTGTGACAGAGAAGGCTATCATACAGGGATCAGGAATGCAGATGACCTATTCGAAGCTGTGCAGCAACCAGGCTATGTCAAACTATTTACACCTGACGAGAAAAGAGAATTCAGTTCTGATGCGGAGTCCGAAGTAACATGTCCCTCACTTGTATTTCGTGGACGAAGCCAGGAGAAGAAATGGACGACAAATAGTCAACTTCCAGAATGGACACCGTCCTCATCTCCACCTTCTTACCATTTCTTCATAGGCGAAAAATCTATGGAAAAGAACATGCGCTGCTTTCAAGAGCAAAACTTCGCGCAAAACTGCCAACTTTCCGAGTTTTGGCACAAATTTCCAGCCACGAATTTGTCTTCTTCCAGTTACTCATTGTTCCCTTTGCATTTCGCCAAGCCCCAACGAAAAGACTCGGTTTCAGCCCCCCATAATTGCATGGCAGCGGCATGGCTCCTTCCAAAATGTGCACGACTTTATTGACGCAGTATTCGTGGTGGCGCGTGTCGGTGCAAGGGCACTGAGGAAACTGTCGATAATTTCCAGCTGCTGGGGACTACTTTTTATGTTGACTGCCCACATATCTCGTCTTTGTTTGAAGCGATGAATAAGTAAAAGCACTCTGCTATCACATGTACATGAGATTTTTTCTGCAAGACAGCTAGCTAGCGTTTTTTGATGTACTCGGTTTTCATTCGGAGAAACGTACACTGTCACTTGAAAATAAAATTTTGAACTAGCGGACTTCAATTTTTGGTTTATTCAGTGTCGAATACTGATATGAAGAAAAAACAATTCTACATGTCGTACTACGTTTCATCCCTTTCTTTAGACGGAGTTTTGAGATCAAGAACCTCTCCGGGACTCAACCTAAGGAGAGAGGGTTTAGTTTAATTTACAAACAATTTAAGAAAAATTTCAAAACTTTTGAGTGACTTTACTTTACGGAAGCGAGTTCTCAACATCAAAATTACCTGGTTCTTATGAAACAGGAACAAAAATCTGTTGTACTTTATCAAAAGTCTTGAAATGCTTTTTCAGTTGCAATTTAAGGAGTTAATGATGTTCTATAGTGCTTGAAAATGGCTGAACCGCATAAGCAGTGCGTGAAGGGCAAAGGTGGAGATCCAAACCAAAATCATAAATTAATGGAAAAAGCTTTCCAAAACTTTTTTTAGAAGGTAGAGAGTCCAACTTTTTGCCTATTTGCAATACGTGATTGTAGAACAAATAGGCTCCAACAAAAACAATATTTCTGTAGACAAGCTATTTTTTGTAATTATACTGTCAATGCAGTCATTGCAACGACTGCACTTGAACAAGTCTATGATGAAATTTTCGAATCTAACGAGTTTCTGTGTGGCTCACATCTCGCTTTAGAGTGGACGAATTATTAATCCGAGGGCACCATTCGACTCAGCTGGGCGACTAAGCAAAAATCTGAAACGATTGGTGGAATCTGATCTTTTAGTGTGCCCAGTGTTTTTATCAGAAGATGCGCCGCGCCGAGCTGAGTCGAATGGTGCCCTTGGATTAGGAATTAGTCCACATTGAAGCGAGGTATGGTCATTTTTTATATTTATTTTTTTTTGAAAGAGAGAAGGTATTGCTTTGCGCGTTCGCTCAAAAATTTCGCTACCTGATGGCTCAACTTTGATTGCGTTGCATGGCATTCGATGTAGAACAAAAATCAGTAAGAAAATCCGTTGCAGCAATTTTGAGCCGATTGAGGACCGCCCGAAAAAGCACCAGGGCCGGTAGTAATCCCCCCGACCTGGCTGCAGGTCTCGTCGGCAGGTCGCTGGCACCTTTTCCGTGAGGTGGCCAGAAAGTGAAACCCCAAATTTAGGCGGTCCCAGGCCTATTTCCAAAAAATTTTCTCGATAAAGATGCCGCCTAGACTCTGTAGAAAACTCCATAGAAATGTGCGGTTCTAGAAATCCTCCTGTTAGAAAATATCTGGAAGCGCAGTAGGAGCTGCCGGCAACTTCGCGATGTAAGTCGCCGGCAACCTGCCGGCAGCTCGTCGAAATCCGCAAGATGGCAGCTGCCGGCAGGTCAGAGAGCACGGGAAATAGCGTGCTCTTCTGAGAGAGGGAGCTGCCGGCATCTCGACGTGCCCCTACCACGTCGAGGTGGTGGCACCTTTGCCGACGGCGTCTGCGAGTTTGCGAATTGCGGCGATATCACACAATTTACGTCAGGCGAAAAAATCAAAAATTCTACTTTTCATAAAAAAAAACTATCATTTTTCTCATTATACAAGCTTTTCTTTTTTGAAACGACGATTTTCTTACAGAGAAAAAATCCGGTAATGCCCTAGAATCATAAAGAACATCATCTTTTTGGCAATCCCTTATAAATCTTGTTTGCACTGATTTCGCCCCTCTCTCGCTCATATCAATCAGCTGTTCTTTCAGGTCAAAGTCTCTCACGCAATGTATCGATCCCTCTTACGGGCAGCCATTTATCAGCGCGTTCCTCCTATTGCTGGTGCAAACGGAAATGGTTGACCGAATGGTCGAATGGTTAACGTGGTAGCACTGCAAGTTAATGCACATAGGTTCGACCTCGCGCGAGGTAGCAGTTTTGCGGCTGTCTGCGTCAACAAAATTTAATGTGCGAAATGATTGCGTGCTAAGGTTACATAAGATTATTAAAACCTACAATCACTCCGCGAGCTGCCGGCGGAGTTGGCATCTTTCCGCGATGTGTGCCAACTTGCCGGCATCTTTGATGCCACCAGGTAGGGTAGATTACTACCGGCCCAGATGACAGCAACCGAGCGTGTTCGGCGGCGCAATCGTTGATAATGTTTGTAAAATGATTAGTCAAACAGACCAAAGCCAAAATCTTCTTCCTCGGACTCCTCCTCCGGTTCCTCCTTCTTCTTTTCTGCAGCCGTAGCAGGTGCGGCAGGAGCAGATTCGCCGGCGGCAGGTGCCGCTGCACCGGCGGTGGCGAACTTGCTCGGGTCGGCCAGTATTTCCTTAAGCTGATCCGCTTCCTTGAAGCTGACATTGGTGGCAGCTGCAATGGCGAACATGTTCTGAAGTCCTCTGGCCAGCGAATGGGCCGCAGACATCACTGTCGGGTACTTGATGGCGAGTGAAACGGCGGCAGCATTACGAACTCCTTCCATGAAGCGCTTGTGCAGCTCCTCGGGGGTCATATCGAGCACTTCGGGGAAATAGATGGTACCATTATCGTACACCTGCACAACGACAAGTCCATACGAGAAGGGTGTCACGCCAAGCATGTTAAGCAGAGAGGCTTCGGAAGCTCCGACTTTCTCTCCTTGTTTGATGAGGTGGACTTCGCTTAAGATTTCAATGGTCCTTCTAGTGATTTTGGTGGGGATCTGTAGAGCTTGGAAGAAAGAGGTCTTCTCGGGACCCATACCAGTATTCTGAGGCGGCAGCTTCACATCGCAGGGTGCAACTGCACCAGCTTTGGCAGGAGCACTCTAAAAGCACAATGCCCTGCACATCTAAAATTTCACCTTACATAACCGAAAAAACAAAATTCCACATTTTGCTTGAATTTTGTATGCAATTGTTGACGTGCTCATCACAAGGTGTTTATTAACATGCTAAGGCCTCTCTGCGGGTTAGCTAGGTGTATACTCGAGTCACTTGTAACTTAATGTGTGAGACTGCACACTATGCACTACTAGCGACGGCACCTTTACTAGTAACTTTTCAGTGAAACATTTTCTAATCTGATAAATTGCAGAAATATGTTCTAGTGATTAACTTATATTCAACAAAAACAAAAAAGAGCAAGGCATAAGGAGAAATCACTGAAAATGAGCAACTCTAGTTATGTAGTGCGTCAGTTAGCGCAGATGGTGTGCAATGAGCATGTTAATTTACGAATGACTACTGTGAATACTGATTGCGAAAAGCGTACTAGACCTGGAAAGGATATGATTTTGCAAGGGGTGTGGGCCACCGGTAGTCCACGTCGTCGTCAGTGGGTTGACATGGTAAGGCCTTTCTGCGGGTTAGCCTAGGTGTACATGGTGTAAAAATTTCAAAAATCAGTTGCCACCATAGGGGATGGTTAAAGGCAGCGTCCCACCATACTGGAGTTATGTGGCTCTCGTAATGATGTGATAGTAGACCCCCTACCTAAGCGATGACTGAAGTTCGGAGCGAAAAAGGGGGTCTATCAAGCCTGAAATTTGCTCCGAAAGTGGGCCGAATCTTACGGTAGGGCCGAACGCCGCCCACACGGCAATATCGATTTGCAGGGCCAGAGTGCGTATAGCGCATACATCATGAGTGCAGGGACCCGCGGCAACTCTGCGTCTCTACCTTGCGTTCACCTCGCACTCGCCCGATCCTACCGTAAGATTCGGCCCACTTTCGGAGCAAATTTCAGGCTTGGTAGACCCCCTTTTTCGCTCCGAACTTCAGTCATCGCTTAGGTAGGGGGTCTACTATTACATCATTACGAGAGCCAGGTACCCCCAGTCTGGTGGGACGCTGCCTTTAACGTGCTGACCATGAACCGTATCCATTTCCTACGGGGTGCGTTATGATATGATTACGGTAGATATATGGTATGGGGTTCAACCTAAGTTTTACAGTGGGGATTACTTTAACAAGTGGATATGATACTGACGGTTAACATGTCAGATAATTCGTCTATACAAAATCTCCCGGCGAATTTGAGATTTCAAACCTATACCATATACCTACCGTAATCCGCTAAAAGGACGGGAATGATTATCACGAGTCATCAACACTTCGAAAAACTGTGTGCTCAGCGAATTCTGCATTTTGAGGTTTGTGTAAAGTAGAATAGTGTCCATGTTGAAAAGTGTTGTAATTTTAACATACCTTTCTATTCTCCAGCAATTTGGGACGAATTTCTCCCAGATCTTCTTTAGTGAAGACAAGGCTAACATTGCGAACGATGTAAGGTAGTAGTTTTTCTAGCGCCGGGTTCTTTCACAAATGTCCACGGATGGCTTTTCGGATCATGGTGTTCTTCCCCATCAGGATCACGGCATGTCCTGAAATCTTTGACCAGTATCAGTACGCGACAAGAGCTACCAGCGTTCTGGCGCCGTGCCAGTACCGTGCCAGCGTACGAAGACGCGCCCCGTATTCATCGATCGACTGCGCCTGCTCGGCGCTAGCTCGGTGCTGGCACAAGCAGCTCTACCCGGTGCCTGGAAAGTCAATTTTGGAAAGAAAAAGTTCACCTCGCATAACCTAACGAATCTCCTGCATTTGCTTAGATCCAACATATTCAACTCCGACAAGGAAGCAATTGGGATACTCGTAGAGTTCAATCAGCTTCAGGAAATAGTTGGCCTTCCAGGTCGTTCTGTCTTCCCTAACCATCGTGGTGAAGGATCGTGCGCTTCACGTTTTAAAGACGAACTAAAAAATGTATGATTGAACGTTATAAAGCATTAACTTATCTTACAAGCTCGAACATGTTATTACGCAGTGGCTACGCACAAAAACGGTCCAAACAAGGTAAGGCAGGTCAAAGGTTCATGAAACACATTTACCCTGTCTCAGAAAAATATTTCTTGGGAGTTACTCTTTTCTCAAATTTTTTACGAAGACAAAAGGTACCGGAAGCACTTCTTTCTGTATTCACACAAATTGTTCGTGAAGTTTAGCACAAAAACAAGGTTATGATTATGATGCTTCTAGCAGTGAGAGGTGGAATAATGAGGACAACGACTGGGAAACATTTGAACATGAAAGAATGGCTTTTAATGGAGTTATGCGATTTTGGTGGCGTATACTCTTCCCTATCACAGATTTAATGCTTATACAAAGAAGAAGAAAAGCATCAAAAGCTTTTACTGTCCTGACATACTACGAAAAACTAAAGTTCAGCTCTGCTAATAAATCAAAATTGCATTTTTTCATTTCATAAAATGAGAATTATAGGTCATCTCATTCATCTTGTAGGAGTGATGAAGTAACTGCGAAGTGTTAATATAAGAACGTATGCGCTCCCAATTCACAAGCTTGAGTAATTGAAAAAATAATGCTAAGAGTTTCTCCTCTTTTTCTGTCAACAGACCGTTTATTGAGAAGATCAATGTTACACTGAAATATTGTGCGGAGTTTATATTGATCCTATTCATATGTTCGTATTCTTTTATGACGAGGAATAGTTTGGCGATAGAAAGAAGCGGCCGTGTCGTAAATCTTCAAAAGAAAATATTGATCGATGAGTTAAACGCATTAGAGCTTCTACAGCACGAAAACAGTAGAAAATATTCTAGAATTCGCAGAAATTCTTATGCAAGTGTAAGTCCGTCGCAACAAAATGGCAAACTTTTTGATTTCCATAGTAGGCTAGCTAAAGAATATCATTATTCACTCATAATTACAATGCAGTAGTGTTTTTACGGCCTTGATTTCTCGTCAAATTTTTGAACGACGGCGTGCTTTGACTCTTTATGGTGAAATCGAGGTAATGCACTGATGAGTTGATTACTGACATTGCGAGTATATAGCGCATTCGAAAAATCGTGACAGTGGCGCGACCGCGCACGACACGCACGCACTTCCGATAACCGCATTTTCTTGGTTTTTATCTCTACTCGAATGTTTTCTTTGCTTACTTATGATAGTATTTGGGTGAAGTGAGAGCTGAATGAGCGTTGAGGTGATTTTTTGTTGCATGAGCCTTTATTCTCAAAGTGGGCGCAAAGACCGTGGTCGGATTCGTCGCCACAATTTTTAGAATAATTCAAACATGTCTCGTCACCGTCTCTAGTTCTTACAAGGGAAGCTTGTTTGGTCGAAGTGGCATTTCCAGATGAGATGCACACCATATTAAAGCGCATAAAACGCTAATTCCAAAACTGTCTTTCTTATCTGCAGAACGTTTATGGACGAGAAGTTATGAGCGTTTTTTGGAGCCAAAAATTGAATGTGCATTTTGAATAAAATGAGTTGTTAGAATCTTACTAGCCTTCAAATAACGTAACCAAGTGTGGTATAATTTTTATTTTAGAGTAATTTTCAAGTGAAGTGTTTTGGTGATTATCATTGCTCCGTTGAAGAGTTAGAAAAAGTATTACGGTTATTTTTGTCACACTTGCACATTCAATTTTTGACTCCAGAAAACGCTCATAACTTCTCGTCCATAAACGTTCTGCAGATACGGAAGGCAGATTTGGAATCAGCATTTTATGCTCTACAATATGCTGTACATCCCATCAAAAAAGGCCACTTCGACTTAACAAGCATTCCTTGTTAGAGGCTTAAAAAATCTGCTTCTGAATTCCAAACGGCAGAAAACATTTTCCCTCGAGATAAGCACTAGTTAGAAACTGTTTGTACCAAAAGTACTATTGTACCATGACTCACTCAAGGGCCCGATGAAAGATAAGGAGTTATAGCAGGCGAGAATGGGAATGTAAATGACAAGTTGGAATAGATTTGGAAGATCACGAGAAGTCAAAAATGAAGAGAGGGCACTTGACTATGGTATCGCATGAAAGTGCAAAAAATAACTACGTGCTGCTGAGCGGAAACGGAAATGCTGCTGAGCGCCGCTCGAACGCAGTTTTTATTCCTCGTTCGATAAACGACACATATATCTTCGTCGACTGCCACATGGAAACGGGAACACATTTAGATTTATGAACAACACCTGCAAACTGTAGAAGCCTAAACAGATGAGAAATCATAACTTATAATAACGGGCTAAGGGTTGTTTACGTTTGTGTGTGTGTGTGTGTGTGTGTGTGTGTGTGTGTGTGTGTGTGTGTGTGTGTGTGTGTGTGTGTGTGTGTGTGTGTGTGTGTGTGTGTGTGTGTGTGTGTGTGTGTGTGTGTGTGTGTGTGTGTGTGTGTGTGTGTGTGTGTGTGTGTGTGTGTGTGTGTGTGTGTGTGTGTGTGTGTGTGTGTGTGTGTGTGTGTGTGTGTGTGTGTGTGTGTGTGTGTGTGTGTGTGTGTGTGTGTGTGTGTGTGTGTGTGTGTGTGTGTGTGTGTGTGTGTGTGTGTGTGTGTGTGTGTGTGTGTGTGTGTGTGTGTGTGTGTGTGTGTGTGTGTGTGTGTGTGTGTGTGTGTGTGTGTGTGTGTGTGTGTGTGTGTGTGTGTGTGTGTGTGTGTGTGTGTGTGTGTGTGTGTGTGTGTGTGTGTGTGTGTGTGTGTGTGTGTGTGTGTGTGTGTGTGTGTGTGTGTGTGTGTGTGTGAATCTCTGTCTGTCACGAAATTCGTAAAGCGAGTTCCAGCAAAGGTCTTGAGCTAGAACTTTGGTAGTAGCACCCTATCAGCATGTAGGTAAAATGTGCAAAAGCACAAGCCGATCCGATAATTGAAACCTGTGAAATTGTGCGCCAAACGGATCCACGCGACATTTCGCGCGCCAAAATGGGCCTGTAATTGGACTTCTTTCAAAGTCATGGTTTCGTTTAGCAAATAAATCCGCAAACCATGGACCCTAGTCCGAAAAGTGAGCAAAAAGTTTACTTTCGCGCAAGATCGGCGCCAAAAAGGAATAATTGCGTAGATGATCGATTTGTCAAGGTTTCACCTGGGAATGCAGGACAATTTTTGCTCAGAGATGTAACTCACGGTTGCCATCATCTTTATGGCGAGTATCAAGTCATTATAACCCCAGTAACTGATTCAAAATCGCATTTAATCTTTTGGAGAATACTTTCTTTTCCTTAAAGTCATCGATCTTATATGGAAAAGCTTTTGGAATGAGTAGTTGTTTACATTTCATTCGTGATGATCGGCATCGCGAGGTAAGTTTCAAAGCCATCATTTTGCAATTACGAGGTTGGTATGTGGATAGTACAGCCAGTGCGAGCCTCTGCGAAGCAGAGGTTACGCACTGGTTATTATAGAATTGTCTTAGCATCCACACCTCCAACCAATAATAAAACATACAGTTTAAGATGAAGTACGTAGAAGAACTGACAAGGCACTCTTTCAGCCTCCTGTCTAGATAATGATAGCAAGAATTGCACATGTTCAGCAGAAAAAGGCGAGTAGAGGGTCGAACACCTCAACTAGACACCGCCTCCGCAGGTTGCTGGTCCTTTCGTCTTATTTGGTGCATAGCGTTGGGACCAGTAGTCCGCGGAGGCGGTGCCAATTGAAGTGTTTGTTCCTCTACCCGAAAACGCATTCTGAGCTGTCGCAGGCTGACAATGTTTTAAATCTTTGATTTTTTAGCTACGAAAGTATGGTCAAGCAAATTCGCTGTACGTGACGCCAAACCAAATGACAGACTGCCGAGTGCGCACGTTTTACACGAAGCGGATTAAGCGGATCAAGCGGATCAAGCGGACCAATTGGATTAAGCGGATCAAGAGGAGTATGGCGGGTGCCTAACGACCGGCAACCTCGGCAACCCCAGCAACCTCGGCAACCACAGCAACCTCGGTTGCCGGCCACTTATGGCCGTTCCCTTAGGCGCAGGGTGCACAACGATGTAAGGGCTAGTCCCAGACGGAGGCCGCTGTCAATGTAAGCGGGTGTGGGTGGATATGCGAACGGAAAGACGCCATTGCGCCATTCGCACCTATGATCGGCTCCAAGATTCGTATAGAAGCGGGTGCGGACTTTCTCTGATTGTGAGGATGAACTTGTTAAACCTCCACCTTATAGCATTGCTTTTCGTGTTCTCGCTATCAAGACTGCTGGCCCTGAGCTTCCACGACTCTGCTTACAAATCGTGGAGCCGATGATACTTCGCGAAGTAAACCTATCCCCTTCGTCGGGAACTAGGGGCAGTATTCACCAACAAATCGGTGGGCTCAACTCGATGACCGATATCACGAAGGTAATAGTGGGTTAGCGAACCCAGCGGAACTTTTTGTAAATATCGATCCTACCCAAAAAACGCAAGTCCACTGGATTCTTTGATGTATGAGGTCGCATTTCACAATAAATCCCCTG